TTTTACAAATTGGGGGCGAAGGGGGCGTGGTATCCAAAATCTGTTGATTACAAAAAGTTTGTATATACACAGTAAATCTGAAATCAGCTGAATTTCAGCTCTCTAGCTCTTATATCTTCTGAGATCTCGGCGTTCATACGGACCGACGGACGGACGGATGGGCAGACGGACAGGGCTATATGACTCATCTCGTCGTGCTGATCAAGAATATATGGGGTTTGCGTTGGTTCCTTCTGCCTGTTACATATTTTTTCACAAAAACATTTTTCCCTGATTTCCTATTTTCGATGGGTTCAGGGTATAAGAATATTGTAGATTGAAAAATTACCGTTCCGATGAAGTAAACATAGTTACATAGTCGGTTTTTTTTTTCAACTGACAAGATTATGATAACCATAATATTTTATAGTGTCCCTTGGATGTTTTTGTAGAAAGGTAATTTATTAATCTACAATTCATTATCTGTTTTTTAATTGCAATTAATATTTCTATGAGTAGTATCTGTAAATTACCAAATCTCCGTATCCATTAAATATGGATACACAAAAAATCTGAAGTCTGTGAGTCTGATAATTCAAATTAGGCTGAAACAAAATAAAAAAAAAATAAAAACGAGTGTATGGTCCTCTGTCAGCAGTGACACCTTGATTAATGCAAGCATTTTGGAACGGAACCACCGATTTTACCATTTCAATTACAAACAATTTAAATGTCAGCCAACGTTTAGGTCGAGGATGCGAGCTGGAGGCTGACATATGAGTCGTGCATGGTCCTGCAGAGTCCTTGCACAGGGGCCATCCAGCCACATGTCCATGAGGCTGAAGAGATTTATTGGTCCTATATGCATGTCATGCTGTAGCTGCATCCGTCGCTCACCCACACTGCTCGCCATTCCTTAAAACGAGAATGTTTGTGCTGGCAGGTAGAGAGAAAGTGAGCTCCACATAATTAACCAAGCCATTCGGAATCACCTGTGCTTACATCGAGCTGCCGCAACAGCTGACTCGCCATTTTAGTCGGCATCTACAATGGGAATTCCCCGTGTAGGACAGACAGCCCATGTTTGCTATGAATGACTTCGGACTTCAATATGCCAGATAACCCAAACCCGGCGCTGCCTTTACACATACTCGACAATCTATGCATGAATGCATTAGTTTGACCCAGACAAGAGACTCAGCTGAGAGCCTTGAAATTTGGCTCATCTCATTATTTGAATGAAATATGCAGATATTGTTGATTTTAAACTTAAAACATTTGCCGTCGGATGTGACCGACTGCATTCATGCGTTCACTATGCATGAATAGTCCATTATCACCCTATCGAAACTTACGCGGGCATTCCCATAATTAGCTGAAAGGCACACTAAAGGCAGTTGACCCTCATTCACTTACCTGGACAATATCTTCGAGACGCAGCCATGGCTAACGCGCAGTTGACGCGATATGTCGCAAGGACGAACGCCGTTGTGTGCCAGCTCCACGATCCGCTGCCGGACTACATCGGGAAGGGGGCGTCCATTAACAAACACGCCTCCCAGCTGATTGACGCCGCCATGACCTGCAATGCAATTAAGTTTACCAGTAAGTAATCCTGGTACATACCGGCATCAAACATATAATAAAAATAAAATTGTGTCTTCCAATACGCAGTTAAGCATAATGCAAACCATAATTGGGCTTACAGTGGATTTGTTGACTCTCTTAGTCAAGATGCAGTCGCATCTTATATAGAATATATGTATATACATATATGCAGGATCTAAGTCTCGTTTCTGGATTTAGTCAATAAACATATGTATATTTGCCGATCACCGTTCATGGGTAGTTGAGTTCTTAAGCCGTTGCCTCAATGTCGCTCCGTCCGTTTCAGAGGATCTGAAGTGGACGATTGCTATAGTCGGTTACTAAAGCTATAGCCAGACAACTGCAGAACTACTTGACTTCAGCTCTAAAATACATTGATCACTTATGATATACGAAAAGGCATTACAGTTTAGGCAAAGGTAGGTCGGGTAGGGTATGCTTATATGAAGAAATATATTGATTACATCATACCCCCATCAAGGAGGACAGCTATGTAATGTGCAAGTTGGCCAGGGTATCTGGTATTCGATCACCTGCTAGTCTATACTATTACTTTAAAGAAGAGGTGGATTTCGCTTGCAGAAAGTCTCCTAATTATGCACGACTTTTGCTCGCCGAAGCAGACGAAGCGTTGCGGATGAGCAACACCACAGATGATCTGAGGAGAACTCTCCTAATGACAAACATGACAAACAGTCAAAACAAGGCGTAGGGATTAAAGAGGAGACAGTTGTATCTCAGAACAGCTCGATATCGGCAGTCTTCACACATCATTTATTTTCTTGCACTTAAATTTCGCACTTGATATGCCAGTTTTAATGAAGATCAAGAATTGTTGGGAAGAGCGTCAGACGCAGAAGCTCCATACGTTAAATGTCAGGGCTGGAGTCGACTAAGGTCCGTCTGATCGGACGGACATTCCGAACTCATGTATGAGCGCTACGATAGCTGAATACTAATGAGAGCAACAAATTGTCACATTTACACTTGAGCCCCCAAAAACCCCTCCCAAGAACGTTACAATCAAGCACGCACGGCGGCATATTGCTTGCTCCTCGTCCAGCGTATAACTTATAGGTAAATCTGATCTGACCCGATTTGGCATGATCACGAGGCAGTCGGAGTCAGAGGAAAAACAGTGAATTGAGAGCAGTAAATTTCAGTATTCCAGCGGTAAGGCGGTTAAGGAACTCGATCGAAACAAGATGCACGACAATACGTTCCCAATTTCAAGAATCAAGGAGAATTTTATTTAGAATTTCCGATATGCCAAATAGAAGGACTAAGTATTAATAATAGAGCTCCTGTTATACGGGATATAGAATTTTCAGCATTGTCAGCCTACTGGAATTACCAGGGCATTTGATAGTATTTAATATCTCCACATATCTATTAACAAAAAGACAATATGCTGAGAGGTTAATTCAAGAAATAAAATTCAGTCATTCTTTAAAGTAAAATCACAAATCTAACTGCTTCCGTATTGAAATTTTCGACCAAGCGAATCTAAAACGAATTTTAATGCTATGATTTCCTTCCGTCGGTTTGTTCGTTTATCCGTCTATCGCAAAAAAATCATTATCGAAAGATAATGTTATTTTACTATCGACATAAATATCTTTATTGGCGACATTTTTCTATTTGACTACGAGATCGCCAGAATCCTGCGAAGTGTTGTGTTGGGAACTATTATCTTGACTAGCTTTTCTAACAGGTGGATTTTAGCTATCAAACTCTTGGAATGTGATAATGGTTTATGTAATCGGTAGTCTTTGGAATACGGTTTTACTTTTGATAGATAAAAAAGACTTTTACAAATATGTATTAGACACTCGGTATTTTGTTATTTTGAAACCCAGAATGATTGATGCAGACACAGGCAGGAATAGGATGTCTCTTACTCGGGAACTGCTCATTCCTGTTCTATGGTTTATATTATATTCAGGCCTGACAGCCTTCGTCTATTGGACTCTGATTCAGTTTTTAGCTTTGGCAGTTCAGTTTCTATCGAGAATCGCTTCTTGAGTTGGAGAGCCTCAATTAAAACTCTGACAAATTATATAGTTCTGAATAATTTTTGTTGTCTCAGCATATAATTTGATATATTTATATAGAGACGGATATGTTTGTTGCTATCGCAATGCTTTTGTCTTTAGATACTATCTTCAGTCTCATTTCAGCCCAGCTCTGTTTTGGGAAAGCATAAAAGTTGTCCACGGTGAATAGCTTTGCTAATTCATTCTTCGTGTGCTTATAAAGGAAACACGAGTGCTGAAAGTAATATTCATTGCTCTAAAGACTTTCAGTGCGCAGTGGGCGAAATGTATCCGGAGCATTTCTTTTTTCGTTCTTTCGATAGTGGCGGTATCTCACTGGAGTAGTGTACGCTCTGCAACGGCTTGCGTGAGATCAAGAGAATCAGCTCGAGCAGGAGTCGTCATTCGATTTGCAGAATATCGCGCGAGTGCGTGAAGGACAAAAGGATCTTTGAGTGCCTTACTGACTGCCAAACTGCAACGGTAAATAATAAATGGTAAATGCGATTGTCATTTAATGAACTATTGACTATCAATGGGTCTCACAACTAAATAGATATTGTTTACTTAACAAGGGAGGACACAAGAGGGAAACAAAGTCATGTTAGGGAAACAGAGCCGCCAACCCTCGTCTCCTCACATTGTATAACTATTATACTACTTTATATACATATATCTTTCATTGTCTCTTTTATGCGTCAGTATTTTGTCCCTTTCGATCAGAATCAATCTTTGGGAGAAAGGGAATTCATACTATTATTTCCCTGCTCGATGGGAATGAATACAACGTCTGCGTATGAAATCCTGCCCAGATGAAGACAAGTTTAGGATATCACGATACTTTTCGCCAAATATGTTTCCCAGCGCTATAATACGATCGCTAATACGAAACTTTTGTCTCTTATTGAGTCATATAGAATGAAGAATACAATGCGTTATAGACGTGTATATTTTGACGCCAAAAAGCGGTCCGGCTGGCATACGTATAAACCCACTGAAAGGGTATTACCTAACTCTAAACTTGAGTCTCCAGAGAGAGTCGAAGAGTGGCAGGCAGATAAGAGCTTATGAATATGTACGTATATAGATAGATAGTTTTTTTTTAATTTTCGTATTTTATATACATGTGTAGTATTCCATCATGTTTTGATTGTAGCGATAGGCTGTGGAGAGATCCATGTTCTGCTGTTGGGAGTGCTATAGATGACTAGTTGACCCTCGGATATAACAGCGCTGATGTGTCGAAGGACTCTCAGCTCTATTTCTAATGCATGTGGGCAGGATTTACACTAAAGCACGACACTGACGAGATAACTTTGGGTATTCCCGCGCGCGATATGCCGAATAATGAGCCGGTAAGGGCGACGATAATGATAGCGAAAGCGATAACGATAACTATGGCGACAACGATACTGTTCATTCACATTAGATTTTCACAATCCGCTACTCCGGTTACGTGGCGTGGCGTTTGCTGCTGTATTTGTATCTAATTTTGTGCCTGGCTTTTAAATAAAAGGGAACCCCGAGCCAATTTCCTTTTTTCAGTTCTATTTTTTTGTGTGCTCTAAATTTTTGCGTCGCCGCCGCCGTCGTTGTCGTCGTTTGCTGTTGTACTTATTATAAATTTTGCATTTATTTTTGTCATTCTTTTTTGTTTTGTTTTTAGTGCCGTGAAATATTTCAAGCCATTTTTTCCGGACTGTTTGCGTTCAGTCGCTGAGATCCTGCGCACGTTTTGTTTCTTATCTGTATGCTTCTATGCGTGTGTACATGTCTGTGAGAGTGCAAAAGTGTGCGTATGTTCAGTACGTCAGCGACTGCAGCGTCTGCTTGAGTGTGCACTGCGTGCTGAGCGTGTCCTTGGTCCTTGTTTTGCCACCGCACCCGCCCAACCACATCGGCATGCGCATACTTCACGACTGCCCGACGCCGACTGCAGCGAACCAATGAAGACGAACCAACAGCCGAGAGACACAACCAGAGCGAAGCGTCATTCCCTTCCTATCCTACAACTGCGCTCTGCATACTGGATAATGTTACAATTGCTTTTGCTTCTGCTGCTGCTGCGGCTGCGAAAGCGACAGCGAATGCGGCCACTGCTGTGTGTTCATTAAAGGCAGTTGGGTGAGTGGGCTGCTACAAAAGTTGTGGTGGGCAATTGTCTTTCCCTTCTTTTGGATTGGCGTTAAGTATTTAAGCCCACGACTTATGGTCAGACACTACCACTTGGTGTGTCTATGTATGCTATAACAAAATATTATGTTTTTAATATAGTGCATCGCTATGTCTCCATTTATCCCGAAACCTGGATGGAGAAGCGGACATGCGTTAGTTCATTTTATTAAATTATGTCTTTTGATACAAGGAGACCCTGTGCCTTTAATACTATACGTGAAGTTCCATAAAAGTGGACTTCAATCGACATCAGATTTCTAAATAGACGTTAAAATTTCTTTTTAGTGCCCTTCATCTGTTACGTGATTACCCTGGCTCGACATCAAAGCAATTTTTGTATACAGAGCGCGATTTACTGTTACTGGCACGTAGTCAGAGCTGACAACCCACGCAAACATACCACACCACACTAGACCACGCCAAACACCACAACAGACAGAGCGAGCAAGAGCGAGTAAGAGAGGAAAATGCAGCAAGCACGAAGCCGATGCCCGCCAATCAGCACCAAGACCAAGATGTGCCTAGCGCCAATCACAGCGAACAGTTTACGTTTCTCGTTTTTACCACTTAAGCACTTGCCGCACTCTATGTTGTATTTCTTTATCTTTCCATCTCGCTTGCGCACCCAACGTTCACGCTTTCTTGTGATTGCTTGTTTGTGTTTCGTTTCTGTTTCTGTTTCTGTACTTATGCGTGCGTGTGCTTTGCATTTGTGTGTGTGCTTGGGGGCTGTGCGCTACACTAAAAATGATTGCCTTTTCGTATTCCATGAGCATATATGATGATGACATCAAGTTGTCACATAAAGACAAAGTAATTATGAGAGCGACAAATATATTACCAAACGGCATTCACGTTTATTCATAGCCATATCGACACATACATATGTATGTACACATATATGTCAGTCGATTCCTTTTCGTGATACTGATGTATATATTCCATATATATGCGTTCTCGCATAGTCCAGTTCTCTGTATATACACAGCCGTATCTCGAGACTGACATCTGTGCCTATCGAATGCGCGCTAGCACATTTGGTTCAAGTTTATATTCTGCGTTTGAAACTGGACGGACGAGGAGATCATTTAATACATATTTTGGAATATATAAATCAAACTGTAAATGGTCTCTAGCTCGATTAATGACTTGGGAGTTCTCGCTGCAGACTACGAATCGGCATTCCAGAAAGGCGATTATCGGGGAATCTTACATGGTTTTAGAGCCACAAATTCAACCAAATTGAAATTTGGTAAACTTTCAAACTAAAGACATCCCGATCCCAATGAAAAAGACTGTGGCTTTATGGCTCCAGCTGAGCTATGCCGCCTAGCAGTGTGATGGGATCGCTAATAGCCTGACCAGATGTTACCTCGCTTCGAATTCCCAATTGTGTGTTCAAATGTTATGAGATACACCGCAGACGTCCTTGTTGCCTCCCCCCATTTTTTGTGCTCATTTTGTTTTGACAAATCACTTTCAACTTATGTTTTGACTTTCGAGCAACACCGCTGGGGATTTCTTTTAATTACTATGGCTCTTTGCATCTGCCTTTACCTCGACTTCTACCTCCAGTTCTACTTCTACCTTCAGCTCTCCCTTAGCATTGCTTCTGCCATCAGCCTTGGTGCTGACTTCTGTTTTGCTTTTACAATTAAAGTCGAATGAAGTTCCCCACTGGGAGTTATCTATCCAAATCAAAACTGCAATTACAATAACCATTACATAATTTGCATAATTCGAAAACCGAATACATAGGAATATATTTACATATGTATATGCGTGTATATGCGTGTATATGCGTGTATGTATATATGAAGCACGCCTTGAGCACGCCTTTTTGGGTAACACTGCACCAGGTCTTTGATATGGATTCAAGTTTGGATTTGGGTAATTATACGATAAAAGTTCATAAACTTCATTGAATTTACCCTGGGATGCCCCAGCAGTCGTCAAAGACCGACTAACAGATGCCCTGAACCGCGTTCAATTCTGATGAACCATCGCAAAATGAGTAAAACGGACGGACGGATAGACGAACAGACGGGCGACTGACTGGGAATGTTGCCAACTCCAATTGACATGGCTTAAAGTTCAATAAGGTTTCTTGTTATTCACATCTTTCCCATTAGCAATAAGCTCAGGCGGAAGACATAGAATTGGAGAAGAATTCGATCCATTCCCATGTTGATTTCGTTTGAATAGGAAGGAAACCGGAATTGGGGTCTTGCGGCTTTTTAACTTGCACAAATGTGGCAACGAGTCAAGAGTAAAGTAAGATAAGTGAAGGCTGAACAGTGGAATGGAAAGATGGAAGAGGGAAGAGGGAAGAGGCAAGTGTTTTGCACTCGTGCGGTTATTAGCTTGGCCTTATTGTTGCCAACAGTAAAATGTGTTTATTTGTTCACTGTTCTCCTTATTCTTACACTCCTTTCCGCTCTTCTGCTGAAGCATGAAGTCCAAAATTGTAATGCACACTCATGGAGCTGAGAGTAGGTCTCTGGTCTCTGGCCAGAGGTCTGTCTCTGGTTGCTTGATAGCCATGTGAAGACTAAGAAAAATATTGCCCGCAACCCACAACCGGCGGATGCACAGTACAGATACAAATAAAGAGATTCAGATACAGATACCTGTAGAGCTGCAGGTGTATTTGCACAATTCAATACGAAAGCAGAGGATTAGAGAGAAAAAAACATTTCGATTCGGAATGAAAACCTGACAATTCCAGCGATCTGAAACTAAAAACGCCTTTTGTGGTCGAGCTCTGCGTTTTCTTCAATTAAACACATAAGTTACCTGAGACATTTTGAGCCTAACCACAAATGCGATTGACCGATTCCCTCACCTCACCGTACCTCACTTCAGATCAGCTGCGTCAATCAGATGCGGACCCTAGGGGTCTCAGTTAGTGTTGATTATTTGTCACGAGAGATAATCGATAGTCTACTTAAATGTGCCTGAGAATCTTGTCGACATTTACATACTGGCAGCACATGTGTCTATCCGTCAGTCAATGAGTATCAGGTGACAAGCTCACCTGCGAACCTTATATACCCTTACTTACCGTCGCCTGAAATGCTGCCCTGCGAGCTGTGCGAATCTTCTGAAATGCAAAGACGAAGAAGAAGAGATGAATTGTAATCATATTATTTTTTATATAACTATAATATATGTATGTATCTTATTGTATAAGAATTACGTTGCTCAAATTCAAATAGCTGACCAAGAAAGATGAAGTGGGCGTAGACATCTCATTTTCGGTCAGTTCTTAGAACGATGTTAAATGTTAAAATTCTTTTTCGTGTATGCCACAAAATTTTTTTTTGGTCTTCGGTGGTAGCATCAATAGGGTCCAAAATATTGCAGATTTCGAAAAATCACTACATCTTCATGCCCGCCCCTAATTATACGCTGAACCCATTGATTATGGGAAATCAGGGTATAATGGGTATGTAACAGGCAGAAGGAGGCGTGGCTGACCCCACAAAGTATATATATTCTTGATCAGGGCGACGAGCTGAGTCGATTTGGC